TACAGGACCTAGTTACGGTCCAAGGTACAAGCTCAGGCAAGTAAATATATTTATTGACAAAAAAAATAAACATTATTATTAAAGGAACGGCTAAGCTTTATTAATTATCTAAGCATAATAAAAAAAACAAAATGCTTACCAGTAAAGCGGATGATTCTAGATTTATGATGAGTAAAATATTTACATTTGCTACTACAAAATAACGACAGCCACAATTTTCAGGGGACTTAAATCTGAATGTCAAAACAATACTTTCTCACCATCTACATTCGGAGTGAACAATTTGTCATATGCAGCGGCCTGTAGATATGTGTAAACAATGATTAAAAGCAAATGGACCGAGGTACACGCATACCCAAGGTACAACACTCTCCCCTACTTAGTTGCTAGTTATAATTTTTTTAATAGGTATTTCTTCCTTTTTCCTGTTGACTGTGAATGAGTGAGTGGTGTTAAGACATCATTGAGAACTTTAAAATGGATTCAGATTCTGACTTTGATGTATTAGATGATTTTGATATTCACGAAATTATAGACTGGATTTCCCAGACAAATATATATTAGAAATGATCTATTTCATAATCTAGACAATATAACTTTTTTTCCGCAGAATTAGGTTGACAAAAGAGACCACATTGCATCTGCTAACTTTAATTGAAGAGCAGTTGGAATATCCAAGTGACATGTAAGTTTTACGAACACGTCGGCATGAACACGATGCAGCTGGCAATCGGAATTTTGGAGTTATAAAAAGCTTTTATTCTTAATATGATTTTGTATTTCTAGGAATAATAGTGTATCTCCTATTCAACAATTGCTGACTGCTCTTCGGTTCCATGCTTGTGCTGGCCATTTGCCTGCCATTGCGGACTTTTCAGGGATGGACATATCAACAGTGTCCAGAATAATTGTACGAGTATCAATTGTAATAGCTCGGCTTTATCAGAGATACATAAAAATACCAAACCAGAAGAAATAGTTAGTGTGCAACATAAGTTTAACTAAATCTTTTATCACAATAAAGTAAATTAGGTTTATACGTTAGGTTTGAGAATTTGACTGACATATTTTTTTTGGAACATAATTGGACATAAGTGAGCAGCATAATAAAACCCCTAAACAGTATTCTTAAAGCCCAGTTTAATTTAATCTACAGTCGGCAGTAAGTGGTGCAAAAGCTGATTATTAAAACCTAGTTTTAAAATTAAACCAAGTTCAGTTGAACTTGGCTTAAATTCTAAACGGTGCAAACGGGCATAAGAGATTCAGGATATTTATCAATTTTGAAGTTTTCTATGATGTTCTATAACTTCTACTTATGATATCTAAATTTTGTAGGTTTTTTTCACGTTTTTTTTTTTCATACAATCCAACATTATACTCGATATTTCTCTATAACTTTCAGTTTTTTCAGTTGTAATATGTTATATTTTTTTTATATACTTAGAACACTATTTTAAAATTTTTCAAATCGGCAATAAATATCCTTCCAAACAATGTACATGTACCTATGTATATGTAAAATATTTTTTTCAAAATATAAATATCAAAATTTATTTTCTAATTCAACTGTTTTATGATAACTTTCTGTAAATTTTTTCTCGTATAACTGATACATTTGACATATCCAAGGTACATTTAACTGTATCAAGATGTGTAATTACAAGAAAAAAAACTATTTACAAAAATAATTTTTTTACAAATAAAAAATAGACTATAATAGAAAATGGTCAAGATTGAAAAACACCCTGTATGTCATATGAATCAAGGTACTGAAATTATGCTTTTTAAATTTTTCCCAAAATTAAAACGTTGACAGGGTAGGCCAAATTCGATGCTTTTCCGAATTTCTTACGAATTTTGAAAAGATAGAAGAAAGCAGTTAAGATGTTACAGCCTTGATTTCCAATGAAAATTGAACTGTATCTCAGTATCTTGATCTGTTTAAAATATCCCAGACTATTATCATAAGTACCTATCTAACACATCACTGAAACAAATGCATGGCACACAGAATGATAATAAAAATACAAGATATTTCTTTGAACGATTACATTAACAATTTCAATATATCACGTGTGTTTTTGTATTAATTATATTTAGAATTATATTTTTAGTTTTATTTTGGATAACTATTTATAACATGCTTACTACTTAGTAAACTTGCTGGTATAACTCAATACTACTTGTGGCATAATATAGTCCCAATTAGTATTGCACTAGCAACATGAGCGTAGCTAGAATTTTTGCTTCGGGTAGGCCCAAGGCCGCTTCAAGCTCTACGGAGGCCTCTAAAAAAAAATAATCACATGCAATCAATGACTTACCGATATAATATTTCAAAATCTAAGGTGGCGCAGTTAGCGATTTACCAATATGAGAAAGACGATATTATTGGATCTATTTTTTTCTAGGGTGGGCACCCGGCTTTCTGGGGTGGGCTGTGCACGTGGCAAACTCAGAATATTTTCAAATGGTTTTTATTGCATGGTGCTCATCACTATTATTTTATAGGCTTGAGATAATGGCACCAACCTTTTCTAAATTAATTTAGGGCAGAACTACTGACCCTGCCGTTCCTGACAACTGATAATTTTACTTCCAATAAGTCGGTCAACACCTAGCAGTTGCAAGGCTATCATTTGCATAGTATCACTTACTTCACAGCATATATGAAACTTCAAAAAATACCGAGAGATTTTTATTCACATATGAGAAATGTACATCGAAGAATGTCTGAAATAATATAAGATTATTTCAGAACTAACACTAACATTTTCTAATAACTGGAAAATTCTCTATACAGAGAGCAGCAACATATTAAAAAAATATTTACACATTTACAGGACTAATTTGGCAATTGTCTATATAATACAATGACAAAAATGGGAAAACATATAATTACAAAAACACAAATATCACTTAATTATTTGATAAAATTTAAGTTGCAATCACATTATTTAAGTATTATTTATAAATCTATGTACAGGTACAAGTTTTATGTATTTACATGAACTAAATTTAAAACATCTTACATGTCAGATTTGCATTACCTACCATTACACACAATTTACCAGTTGTATAGCCTCACCAATAAAAAAAATAACCTTTAAAATGAAAACTTACTAAAAATGCCACTCTAAATAACAAAAAAGTACCATAATAAAATGTATATATAAAAATGATAAATAAGTAGAATTTAAATATGGTTCCATCGTTATTGTTACAAAATGATTAATTTCATTCAGTCTGCAAATTAACATATGCGACAGCACATTCCGATTTTGTAAAACTCGCTGCAGAAATACTAGGTATTATCAAACCAATAATATTCGAATATCATGGAAATTATGAACATTCTCCTAATTTTATTTACATAATTTACCCTTTATTAAAAAACTATTAGCAGAATAGCTTTCATAATCCTGCCAATTTAATGCATGTAATTTTCAACCTTTAAAAATATAGAAAATAATTATAACGACAAACACCCTATATTAAAATAAGACGTTAATATTTTAGTAAAATATGTGCCCAGGTTAATGGGGAAACTTCTACAGGTAATAAAATAAATTATTTTCTAAAAAGTTTTGTGTGAATATGAGTCATAGTGAAAATTGCTGAAATTAGGAAAATAAAAACAGAAAAAACATTTTTTGAAATATCTGAGGCAGCCGACAGACTGATGAAACTTAGGCCACTGATTTGTCAAAACTAGAAACAAAAATTCATCAAATTGACTTACAAATGCATTAACCAGTGACAGAAGTATGAGAGGTCAGTACCGCAGGAGTCCCAGATCTTAGACATCATTAAATATTCTACAAATTTTTCATTACCAGTGCTATTTTTTAAATTTTAAAATGAGCTAACTATACAGTTAAAAGTAAATAAAAAATAGTTAATTATTTTACATATATGTCTTTTGTACCTTGCTTTTTGTAATTGCTGTCATTTTTAAAAATGCACCAAAAAATAGTCGGTAACGACTGAAAAAAAAAACATAATTAAAACAAAAAATAATTTAAATTAACCAAACTTATTTACTGCTCTTCAGTGGTTAATAACACATGTCCAAATAAAAAAGATTATAAAAACTTCCAAAAATAAACCTCTAGCCGCCACACGTATAATCTGTGCACGGTTAATCAATATTCTACTATAGCTACTCTGAAACCGGTTGTTCTGCAAAAACAGTTTATGGAACTTTTCCATTAGAAACACAATTTTAAATATAAACTAATATAATCATTGGCATAGAAATTTTAATATTTTTTAGGAATTACATGCTTTTAGAAAATTAGACATTTCTACACCAATGATTTTTTAGACTTCTAACATTAATTTGTATTTATAAATGTTTATCTATCTAGAAAACAATTTCCATGAACTATTTAAGTAGAACAAATATTTTGAACTATTTTACATTTTACAATTAAAAAAAATTGTATTACTACAATGGCTCATTCTTCAAACAAAATGCAAAGTTAAAAATACTATTCGAATTTACAAAATACTGAACAGTGGCGTTGAAATTCTGATGGTTCTGGTAGTGCTAACATAACTTATCTCAGTCACTGGTTAACATATTTGTAAGTCAACTTAGCAAAGAGTGACCACAAAAAACCTGTGATTTTCGCTTGTTTTCACTATTCGCAGAGATTAAAAAAAAATACATAAAAATATGTTTTTGGTCGCAAATTACTTGTCGTAAAAAACTGAAATGAGCATAGCTTTTAGTATTTTGAAAATTTTAAAAATCACCCCTACTTAGGGGTTGAAAAAATGCCAAAAATGAATAATTTGAATATTACCAATTAATATAAAAACTATTAGCATGTGAATTATCTTAATATATTTTCTTTGGAATTTTTACAATTATTTCTGATATTCTCTATTTTTGGGGATGATTCCACCCCCTGAGTACGCTTAAGGGTGGATTTTCTAATTCAACGTGCTTATTTCAGTCATGAGAATAAATCTTTCTTTGTATCAAAAATCATTCAATAGAAAAATTCACATGGTAATAGTTTTTATATTTATTGGTAATATTCAATTCTTCATTTTCTAATTAGATAAACCAGTGACTCCAAATTTCATCAACTTGCGTCAAAATTCTTAGAGATATTTCAGAAAACGTGATAAATTTTCTTATTTCAACAACCCGCATATCTAAAATTGAGACTACTATACTTTATATGTAACTTCTTGCTTAAAATAATTTATTCAGTCTGTTGAAATATCTCAATTCAACGCAGGACCATAGTCTTCTGCAAAAATAGAGTAAATAATGTGATACAAAATTACATAAGACTAATTTCAGATAAATACGATCACATAGAGTAGAAAAAATTTGTTTATTACATAATCACCATTTATTTGGCATTATCAATAGTGGCATTTTCATTACATGTTTCTCATTCCGAATGATCATCAAATTCAAATTATGTATTTTATTAGGTATTTCTTAATATAAAATAAATAGTTATTTAATTCAATTAACTGAACAATTACCTGAAACTTTTCGAATTAATTTTATTTAAGGATTTTTTTGGTTTTTATATTACTTAATACAGATGTTCAATGTATATCAAAATTACTAAAAAAAACGTTTCATATCCACAATATCTTCGCATATTAAAATTATAACAATGGATCAGAAAAATCAACATGCACGTAAATTCTAAATGGGAAAACCAAAAGAATAACAAAAACTCAACAAAACCAACAAATATTTCAAGTATAAGCTAAAAACTGGTAAACCAGTACATCTCTTACAACTCTTAAGTTTGGAGCAATTCCCTTCTTTGTTGTTTCCTTTTTCTACAGTCGGGGCAGAACCACTGCCCTTTGGGGGGTACCATAATACCTACACATTCAAAATGAAACCATTCAATTGCACAATCACTAGCATCACATCCGATCATTTCAGACACCTCATCGTAAGGGCATCTACAGTAGCAGTATAGCTGAGGTTGGTTGGGCTTAGGCAGAACCGGTTGTTCTTCAGAACTAGAGTCATTCGATTCTGTAGCACTGTCCTTTTCCAACTGTCTCTGATTTAGTAAATGAACTGGAGGTGGAATAGGTTTAGGTGTAGGCCTTTGAACTCGGAAGTCACTTAAGTGGGTTCCCGTACGAATAGATATTGGTTCAACCGTTGGTTGTTGTATTGGCTGAGTTGCAGTTTTAATTGTAATAGGGGGCACAACCATGGGTGACCTAGGTGCTTGAGGTACCTAAAGAAATTTCATCAATATTAGATTCGTTGGATACAGAAATTATTTGAATCGGTTATTACTTAAACAGCATGTCATTTTTCCGAAAATAAAACTTCTGTTGGGATACTTTAGACATAAGTAAGATGTAATAGGTAAAAATAAGCACCATAAAATATGTCGTAGAAAAAAATCAATGTTACAATTATTCTTTGAATTATTAAACCCAACAATCAAATACCAATACTTATTTATAAATTCGTATACAGGGTGTTTCAATTAAAACTTCCCACTTGGAAAATACCGGAATTAAAAAAAAATAAAAACCTGAAACACGTCGATTTTCTTTTCAAGGGGACACGTGGTAGAGTAAGATTTGGTGTCTTGGAAGCTACCGCTTAGATAGGGGCAAAAAGTACCCCCATTTTAAAGCTTTTTCAATTCTGCTCACGACGATATACGACTTTTCAAATTTTAGTTTGGATATGACAATAAAATCATCACTTAAAGAATAAGACTAAATATTAATGAATGAAAGAAGGACCTTTTATTAAATATTCAAATTGGTTTCCCTCTGCTTCCAATCAATAATAAAATCCGAAGCATTTCGGGAGTTAGCTTACGACATTTTTCAGCAATTTCTCAATAAAGAAATCTGTTTAAATTTTTCGTTTATCTGTCAATACAAAAACTTCATACTCTATCAGTTCAACTTTTTTACCTGTTTTACTTTAAACGAGACAATATCATCTCGCCTTGTCTTGTCGAGACAATATCCCGTAAAATCATCACAAAGTCGATTGAATTCCAATTCGTGAAAATAGTTTATACATTTGCTGAAAAAGTGGAAATAATTAGTTTGTTCTACAAGAATAATAAATGTGAACTGCAGGCAGCACAGATTTTTAATGATTGTCATCCTGACCCTGTACCTCGGCCATCTAAATTTTAGGAAAAATTCTGATTTGGGACACTGTTTACATAAATACTTATGCCCAATTTCAAATTATTTCATTTACTAGTTTTTAAATTATTTAATTTTTTTTTTGTAAGTTTAACACCCTGTATCTTTTTTATAAAACGTCCTACATAAAAACTTTATACGAAAGACTCTTCTTAAAATTCACCAAAGAATACGAGGTTTCATTTTTGGGCATCATTTGTGAATCACCCTGTATATCAAGTTTAACAAAAATGCTTTCTGCAATTTAAATTAATATGATATGTTACTATTTGTAAATATCACTTTTTGACTGAATAACCGAAATAATTGCATTTTCAAAACTGGAAAAAATACTCACCCCTCAGGGTGTCCCGTTCATGTTTCAAAAGAACTTGTGTGCAAGTTCCTCATGGAAAAATAATAGGGGTACTTTATGTAAAGTTTTTTTCTTAGATGCCCTGTTTTCGAGATATAGTGTGTTGAATTGTTACTTTCCAAATGGTTTTACCTAATTATCTTTAAATTGGCTAAAGATAAAAATGTCAAAATTGGTACACGAGTAAACATCAACTTGTGCATTGAGAATAATGTGCAAACGGTTTCTTCTAAAGGGTGCTACAAAAAAAAGGTATACTTGTCGAAATTCGGTAGCATGTACCATTTTCGAGAAAAATGAAGTTGCATTTTTTTTTGCTCACATAAAGCGGCACAAGTACATTAACAATACAGTGTAGGAAAGTACCGACGGTCTATCAGAAGTTACGTGAGAGCTTCTTATTTGTGGAAGAGCGAAATGGGCGTTGACTATTAGACGCCTTCATTATAGCCATTACTTGTCTATCACATGGATTTCAATGGCTTACTTTATCGCTCTCACGTAACTTCTGATAGACCATCGGTACTTTCCTACACTGTATATTAAATTAAAAGAGGATTGAATGAGCTGAAGACATTTAGCTACCAACAGTATTTGCATTTAGACTGTAATTTTAATTTCTTACGTATCACATGAACCAGTTAAATTGTAAAACATTTTATTAACAAAAAAATAAATAAAATTTATTTTAAGTTTCAGTTTGTTGTAAACTAACATTTAAAAAAGTACATCAAAATAAAAAGATTATGGCAATTAATTAAATAAATGTGCAAACTCGAAATACTACTGTAGATACTGAAATTGTCCCCCATTTTCTTCTATGCAACTCCATTTTTCTCGAAAATGGTACATTCTACCGAATTTCAACAAGTATACCTTTTTTGTAGTATGTTTTAGAGTTTACAGAACCGTTTGGAAATGTAATAAATTATTACTTTTAACATATTTTTTTTTCGATTGTACCCCTCCTGTTCCCTGTATCGGCGACACTGCTTTTCAGAAAGAAACCGTTTGCACATTATTCTTAAAGCAATGTTGATGTTTACTCGTGTACAAATTTTGAAATTTTTGTCTTTAGCCGAATTAAAGATAATTAAGGAAAACCATTTGGAAAGTAACAACTTCAACACACTGTATCTCGAAAACAGGGCGTCTAAGAAAAAAACTTTACATGAACTACCCCTATTATTTTTCCATGAGGAACTTGCACACAAGTTTTTTTGAAACATGAACGGGATACCCTGTATACATATAGTACAGTCATTGAAGCTGAAAATCTGCTGTAACTTCCAAATTCTTTGAAACTGCATGGATTTGCATGAAAATTTAGAATAAGGCTCATCTTCGGCTCAAGGTCAAAAGTGACATAAGCCCGATTGACGCTTTTTGTTTTAGGGGTAAAAACTACCCCTAAGTGAAAAAATTAAGTTTTAAGCACTTTATTGATAAAAATCTTGTTCAAGCACAAAGATTAAATAATGTTCCATGTTCTCGAACATGTTTTATGATATATTTGATCTTTTCGACCCTTTATTTATCTTTAAAAACTACCCCTATGCAAAAATAATGATAAAAAATTACTTTTTAAATATTTGAAATGATTAAATCGTGCAATTATTTAAAATAAAAGTTACCTTATACCTAATAAAAGAATTTTTCCTTTTCAACCCCTAAAAACCACCCCTGTATTGATAAAAATTCCCTCATTGCTTATGAAAGAATTTGTATCTCATAACACTTTTCAACCCTTATAAACCACCCCTGTGCTAAAAAAATTACGTTTTAAATCTTAGAATGCTATAATTGTGCAAACATTTAAAATAAAAATTCCCTTATATTGTTTATGAAAGAATATTTTACTTTTTCCATTTTCAACTCTTATAAACTACCCTTTTACCAATATTAATGTAAAATATTTTTATTATGATCGATTTTTAAATATAATCAATCATAAAAAAAATTGCTACGCTGCATATAAATAATCACACTAAATTTTTTTACTTATTTTATTTGTATAATATAATATATAATATATAAAAATGAGAAAGCCTATTTTGCTCCGAAAAAATGTCATTGGTTTTTTTACCATAACTCGGTTAATTTTGAAGCTATAGTATCCTACAAAAAAGCATTTTAAAGATAATTTCAAGAGCTGTAAGATCGTTTGCATATAAAACCTTTTAAGTCCTTCGTTTTTTAAAGGGAAAGGATCGAAGGGCTCGAGACAGGTCGTTTTTTCACTAAAATGGATACTTCAAGCGGCGATATCTCCTTTATTTTTTATGCTATAGGAAAAAAAAAAGCAAAATATTTGTTGAAAAAAAAGCTACATTTTTGTTGTCTATCATTTTTTACGTATCTTTCATAGTTTCAGAGTTATTATATAAATAAGGCAATTTTTTTTGAATAATGAAAAATACGTTTTCAACTTTTACCGTACATTATTAAAAAAATACGCATTCTAAACCGGTCTAACTTCAGGATCGTATGAAAAACACTAAAACAAAACTAATTGTAAAGGGTCTACGATTAATTTTAATTCTGATGGAAACGGTACAGCGTTTACTGCTCATTTTTCCTTAAAAAATATGAGCAACCCATCTGTTTTTGCTCAATTTTGCTCTAATTAACTTTTATAGTGCTCATTTTGAAGGTCTTTTTGAGTACTACAAAAAACTCCTAGAGCGTTATACATGTAAAATTATCCATTATTTGACGTTGAATACATCGATTCGAGTATTCCCCCCAAAACAAGTCCCCTTCTACTAACCATATTTCGCTGTTTTTTTTTATTCAAAATTCCAAGTTTTCAATCATGAATAACTAAAAAAATATTGATTTCTCGAAAAAATTCTTCGAATATTTTTTGCTCAAGATTTAATTCTCTATCGATTTCCAGCATTATTTTTGAAAAAAAAAATTTCCACCCCCGAGAAGGGGGTCAACACCCAACAGGGTGAAAGCGTCAATCGGTGCTATGTCACTAATATTCATTGACCTTTTCTCTGACTATCTGCCAAATTTCAAGTCAATCGGTTCAGTTTCAAAGAATTCGGAGGTGAAAAGCTTCAATGACTGTACTAATAGTTTTTTTGGTGGATAGTACCACAAATTCAGTTCATATTTTAACATCAAAGCAGGGATTATTTTCAAGTTTATTTCTCATGTGAATTTTTTGTATACCTAACGGTTTTTGAATAATGAATTATTTTATTCGTTATCACCAACATGTTTTGGATACAAACTTGATTTATCTTATAAAATTTTATTTATTTAATAATAAAAATTATATAAAGTTGTTAAATTTGTAATTGCATGGTCTTTCATGAAAATTATTGGAAATTGGGCATTTTTCGGCTAGTGAAATATGAACAAACACATGTTTTATCTAATACATCGGGGCTACTAGGAATACCTTAAACGGTTTTTTGTTTTTGTCATATGTATTTCCTTTGTGGTAGAGATTTTTGAGAATACGGCCATGTTTTATGAAATTCCATTGCATTTACCGAAAAAAAGTTATATTTATTGCATGTCGGTTCCAGAGAAGAACTTATTTATTTATTTTTTACTGCATTTATCAGTTACGGGGGAGTATTTGAGATTATCCTAATAAAAGTAAAAGCCACTCTTTTGCTAAATTTGCTGTTAAATATATTTACAATTTAGATTAACATACCACTACAAAAAGTCAGCATCTGGTAAGAAGGTTTTTGAATGTAGTAGATATATCCCAGAAGGTATTGACCTTTGAATGATAGTAAATTACTCTAAATCATAAAAAATATTTAATTCAGTTGCAATTTTAATAAAGAAATTTTACAGTAGATAAAGTGAAGTTTCATAAAACATCTCTGTTTTGGCAAAATCTGTACTAAATACATATGGAAAAAACTATTAAAGGTATTCTTAGCGGCCCCTATGTTTTAGATAAAAAAAATACACTCATATCAGATTCCACTACCCGAAAAACTCCCATACAACAAATTTCATTGAAATATCTTTAAATGTAAGAGCCATCTCGAAAAATTTAAATAAAAAAATGTTTGAGGACCCATAACTTTTTAAAGAAGCAAAATTGTAGTGAGATAACGTGATCTAAAAAGGTTTATTTTGACCCTAGCCAGCTACTACTAATGTATGTCTCATTTTTTACTGAACACCCTATACACAAGTACTAGTATACCGAATTCCTTTTAACGTCCCAAAGGCCAATGAAATCGTGAGTAACTAATGGGTAAATCAAACTGAAAATTAATCTGAATAAAACCAAATTTAAGGATTGTAATATGCAGTCAGTTACTAAAAACGAAATTGTAATAACCAACCTACTGTATATCTGGAAAAACTAAAATTTTTATCAACTTTAATGTCATCTAACTGCTAAACAAAGCAACTTGCCTGTGTTGGTTCATTTACAAATTATATAGAACTTTCATAAATGATTACAAGCCACGGAACCAGTAATTTTGTTTTGAACAGTAATTTTGTTTTCTTCATGTTGGCAATTAAAGTTCGGTAAAATTAAAACAATGAGATCAAGATTACACTGAAAGACAACATTGTTTCACAAGCTGTAATCGGTGTAATTTGTCACGTGATTCTATTCAACCACATTATCACATTATCTCCAGCGTAGGCATAACGGTTTGTTACTGTTCATTGTAAATGAATCATTAATATTAGTGATGCCAAGATTTAGGAATTTTTCGTTAACTACTGGTGCAGTAGACAACCAACATTGCAGGGCTGGTACTCCAGCCCTGCAATGTTGGTCGTCTGAGCTCGGCGGTCACGTGGCTTGTAAACATTTATAATAGCTCTTTATAACCTCTAAAGTACACTGAATCTTTGCCATACACTTTAATTAATTTGAAGTTAAGAAAGATGTTTCCAGTACAGAATACAGAAATTTAAATATTCTCTAATTTTATGAATATTGATAATGATTAATGGTGATTAAAAATAAACTAAAGTTATCTTGGTTTTAATATACAGTGTGTTCGTATAAACTGGGAGAGTAGGTATATGTGGCAGACCACAGGAACTGTTATCGCATTGAGGAATTTTTTTTTTGCAAATTGTTGAAAATTTTGAGTTTCTGAATTTGCTGCAAGATAATCCAATTACAGAAAATTTTTCAAAAATATGTTTACTTAAGATAAACCAACTCAAAGAAAGGGAGAGTAAACATTGTTTAAAAAAAAACGCATTGTCATTTTATAATTAAGGGATCTGTGACTTTTTTCTGAAGCTGTTTATTCCATATATTTATTAAGGAAACCACAATTATTTTTTAACTTTCTATTCCCCTGCATACTTTAGTTCTAAAAAGATGTTGTTTTCATCGACATTTTCATTTGTTTTTCACCTTTTTTATTATGTTAATAAGAAACACTCCATTTAAAACTTTCGAAAACTGAGTTTTTTTAAATTATTAGGTACCTACCTATAGTAGGATCGTATCCGATGCAAAGTAGAGCAAAATGTGTCGGTCTTTTATCAAAGGAAAATCGTGTCATCATTTTTAGGAGGCGTAAGATAAATCATTTCAAATTTAAAATGAAATTCAATGTAAAATCTGAAATACCGCTGCATACGCACTGTGTTCTGGTAGTAGCTGTAGTCGCCCAGGTGCATCGAGTGTACGAACTGGTCGGTTATATGTCAAATACTAACCTGGTGAGCTTTGCCGTCGATTAGAGAGCGCTTCCAAAAAACAAGTAAACAACAGTGGCGCGTACAGAGGTAAAATGTAGTACATATGTGGAATTTAGCAAACAAATTGGATTTATAATAAATTACAATTAAACTAAAGGGTGCCAGACCTGAACTGATCCCCTCGTCCCTTCATAATGTATAAAGAAATTATTCAATTTCTAAAACCCTTAAAGGCGTACTTCATTGGTTCCCTTGACATGCAATGATTTATTACTTTGCATCGAATATGATCCTACTATAGTGATGACAATACATCCTACATTTTATTTACAAAAAATCTGATTGTGAAATGGGAAATTAATTTTACTAAGTAATTTTTGTACAGCCAGGTCTAAATTAAATTTTTTTTAAACAATGTTTACACCTTGCCTTCCTGCCCTTATTTGATCAGTTGCACCAAAAAAATGTATAAGCTATAAAGTAATTAATCAATTTATATTAAAACAGCCTGCAGCTATTAAAAAAAAAGAAAAAAGTTATACAATAAGCACCTACTTCAGTCTTTCTCCACTTAGGAATAGATGGTGGAACTTTATCTTGATCTTCGTCACTAGAATATCCATAAAATTTATTGGGTACTCTTCTACGTTTTGAGGCTCTTAAACTGGAATCAGATGAGTCCTGTCTAATGTACGAAGGTTCATTTTGAGCTTTCTGGTAAGATGTTGGCACTGGGGGAACTGTAGACTGATTTGGTACTGGCGAATTTCGTGACAGAGAAAGGGTTATAGGTGCTACTGTTGGTGGTTGGTACTGATAATAAGATGGTACAGGTATGTTTGAGGCTTCTGTTGTGTATTCTTTAACATCTATTTCCATTTCATTTTTCCGCTCACTTTTTCTCTTTTTACGTTTTTTGGATTTGGACTTTTTCTTTGGTTTAGTTTCCTCTTCCTCAACACCAGCAGGAGGTGTAGGCGGTCTACTGGTACTTTCAATAAAGCTGCCATTAGGCATATTATTAGGCCCCATGATAGCCAGCAATTGCTGCCGCTTCTCTTCTAATATTTTTTTTGCTAATTTTTGAGGAGCTCTATCATAAAATTCTTCATCAGTTTCACTTTCTGTTGTTTCTAAATCAGACTCCCTAATTGGAGTTTCGATAGCGATTGGAGGTAAATCTGTTGCTACAACATCTACCACTTTAGTGTCATTTTCTTTTATTTTATTTGCACGTTCTTTCCTACGTTGACGTCGAGCTTGCTGTTTTTTCCTACCTTCTTCTGTAGAGCTGTCAGAATTAGAACTTTCTGAAGTTGAACTGGAACTATCGGAACTGGAGCTACAAGAACAATTTGATCCACACGAACAACTAGACGAGTCACTATCACTACTTGATTCATTACAGGAGCTGTCACTGTTCTTTTTTTCTTTAATATCTTCTTTATTATTTTGTTCTGTAATAGGTTCCAATGGTGGTTTTTCTAATACAGGAGCTTGAGGTTTTGGGGAACAGTAATCATGGTCAACACTTTCAGTCATTGTCAAAGCTGGCTTTACTTCTATTAAACTAGTATCTACTGTTTTCTCAGGGTCAACACAATAATCATGGTCTCTTAAGGCAAGTTCCACTGTTAGCTGATCAACATCAGGAACTGCGAGATCCAGATTCGGCTCTGTTTTTTCTACCTCATTAAACATATTATCTAATTTTTCCTTATTTGCTTGATAATTTTTAAAATTATCCCAAATATTTTGTATCACAGAATTTGGATTATCAAAATCTTCGCTTTTCTCATTTACTTCCTTCTGAACCACTGTATTATCTCCTTGATGAAGCAGCTGATCAGATTCTTTATTGTTTTCTTTATCTTCTTTCTCATTATTTACTATTTCTTGCACATTTGTATCTATTTCTTTATTTTCATTGGGCTCCTCTTTTTTATCGTTTGCTGAAGGTTCAGTTTCAGAGTCACTGCTGTCACTTTCAGAAAGATTTAGTTCAGGTAAATCTAAAACATCTATTTTAGGTTTAGGTTTGTCTTCAGACTTCTCTTCCTCGTTTTTAATTTCCAGATTTTTTTCTTCCACTTTCTCTTCTCTCGCCTCATCGGTAACTCTCTCACTTTCCTCTTCATTTATAATTTCCTCTGGAGGTTCCCTGTGACGTAATTCATGCTTGAGCATTAATTTCTTGGAAATGAATTTCTCTGAGCATCCTTCAAATGTACAAGCGTGTTTTTTCTCATCTGTGTGTATTCTTTTATGCACCTTCAACGATACTGCTTTAGTGTAAGAGACATTACATTCTTCACAAACAAAGCTTGTTGGTGGCACACAGAAGTGATAAACATGGGGCCACTTTTTCTGCAAACATTTTTTACATAAAACACTCTCAGTTCCATGTTTCCAAAACAAATGTCTAGTAATATCTGGCTTATTTCTATAAGCAATACCACATCGATAACAGAAATGATGTAGTTTATGTTTCCATACATGGTTTGAAAGACGATATTGTGTATGACACATTTCCAAACAAACATCGCAAACATTATGCCTTTTTCTAAGATGAACCATTAATCGAAAAGAAGAAGGTAAATCATCATTTACACACATGCAGCAACGAAATTGTAAATCATAATCCAAAATGTATACTCCAGGGCATAAGTGGCAGATTAATTCACTATAACTATAAAAGTTCGATTTACACATTATACATAATAATAAATTTTTTGAATGAAATTTTCTGTTATGTAAGTACAGTTCCTTATGTACCGTTGTACTAAAACGACATTGAAAACATTCAAATACATGCGAAAAAGTCACAGCATCGTCTGAAAAACTTGATTCTAAATTAAAAAATACTGTTTCTAATTCACCTAAGCTTTCTTTTATTCTGTTAACAAAACTTTCAGGAATTAATTCTTCAGCTGTTATGCTATTCACAACACCTGAAAATCTATGTTCAGCTATACAATGCAAACCTAGTTGTTTGCCATTAACAGCAATTTTTCTGGCGTGATTACAATAGATACAACTAGATGCAGTAGCTTTTAAACATTTTTGTAAGAGTACTCGTGGATCAAACTTATCTAATGGCTGCTCTAACTGTAATTCGATAATTGTAATATCTGGTCCAGCGATCTGGAGCGATGAGTCTATATTTTCATCCTTCACATGAGTGTCATCTGTATCCTGTTTAGGATTAATTTTATCAACATCATTTTCATTTTCACTTTCAATTTGGTCTACTTCCATCGTTAATTTTTCACTATCATCACTTTCTTCTCCTTCAATGTCAGGTTCTGAATAAGTTCCAGGTTTAGGTAATTTCAGTGACAACTTTGGAACCTTCCGAGTTTCAATTGGTTCACCATGTACATCATTGATTTCCATATTAGTTTCTTGTAAAGAAAGGTCTTCTTTACTTTCTTCTGTTCTGTTTTCAGTTTCACTAAAAGGAATTCCTTCTGTCAAATTTGAAACACAGTTATCTTCAACAGTATTATTTTCTATATTTATACAGTTCAGTTCCTCAGTATACTGATTATGTTCTAAATCATTACTAACTCTATCTTGTTCATCTTCTTTTGAAACTGTTTCATCATCATCTTCTAATTCCACTCGTTGACTTATTTCATTTCTTTCTTCAATGCCAGTCAAATTTTTAGGACTGTTAGTTTCCGTAGGTACTGTATTGTCAGTGTTTTGTTCTGACCCTATGTTTTTTTTTTCAGAGGCGTCTTGTATAATACCTTGTAGTTCCTTAGTGCTAGTAGCATTTGCAAGAATTTCTTCACTTACTTGTACAGAGTCGCCTGTAACATGATTTTCTGGAGTAATTTGCTGTTTTATCGATTTCTTACTCTTCGTGTTTTTATTACTCATGCAATTATGATAAAAAAAATTATCTTGCTCGCTAAAGAGTTTATTACACTCACAACACACTACGTAACAAGGTTCATTATAAACATTGAAAAATTCATCTAAGGTATTTTTATGTCCTGGTTCAAGATTATGACGAGATTGTATATGCTGACATAGGTCTTCCAATATAGAAAACATACCTAAACAATATAAACATATATATCTTCTATGAAACTCTAACATATGCATATAAAGGTTCCAATTTTCGTAATATGTTCCACAAGCCGAACACAAAAATACTTTGCGGGTTAGTTTGAATCCTGAACAAGAATTTTCAGGAATTTTTTCCTGAACAGTTTGCACTGAATTGCACTGAATAATATGATCCTGAAGAGTCGTTAAAGACTCAAATCCCGCTCTACCGCACTTAGAACACTTAAACTGCACAGTTGGTTGCAAACCTAAATACTGAGCATATTCTCTAAGTTTTGGTTTACTTTTGCCTTTAATTTTTTTATGTTTAGGTTTGAAATTTTTATCTTCTTTGTCCACTGTCACGTTACTGTTAATTTTATTTGAATTGTCTTGAGAATTCTGATGTAACTGAGATAATTCAAACAGTGATTCATTAAAATATGGATTGGAATGCGTAACCACTTCACTGTCTTTATTGGAATTGTCCTCGGATATAATTTTTGTTTTTTGTGCACTTCTTTTCTTGGAATTTCGTTTTTTAGGTACACTTTCATCTATCACTAGAGCATCACTTTCTGAACTGTATGAATTATCCTCAAATAAATTATTTTCTTCAATATTGTCACCATTGACTTTCGCACTTTCGATATGAATTATTTTTTCATCTTTCGAAACAGCAATTATCCCATCAGGGAAGTTTGCCATTATGGGGGCCACTACTCCATTTTTTGCATGCTCCAACACCTCTACGTCTGATACGGTAGTATTTGAACCATCTTCCATACCGATTCGACGTTTCTGGTGATCTAAAAAAAAAAAACTTTTGATTACCTATGTCTGCAATTTTTTGGTTAAGTGTGGAATGTCAAACTTGTGATATGTATTTAAAAATCATAAAAGTACTAAATAATAAAATAATTGTACAAGAATTTTCTTTAAAAGGCCTAATTGATTTAATGCAAAATGACAAAACTAATGTTTGATATATTTTTGTCATATTGTGAAAGCCACCAGCCACATTTAATATTATACAGATATAATTTACATACCCTGCAACTAACGCTGTTTTATTTTTAGCATAAGGTGTCTACACATTTTCGACCGCATATTTAATAACAAATTTACAACTCCCCGCCTAAAAGGTTAATAAAATGGCGTTCCTCTCCTCTTCTGAGCACAAGCCATAAGCAATGCACACAATGCATAAGCATTTTATTGGAATAGCGTTTTCCGTTTATTGTATTTTGCATCTCTCTTACTTTACTCTAAAAAAGATAGAGACATCTATTTGCACTAATAGATTTTATTAAATACGTGTTCTCTACTGAAAGTACTGAAAGTCAATGTTTATGTATTTGATTTGATTTTATTTGAAAATATCGATGAGAAAAATCTATAATTTTTCTCATTAACATTAATACAAAAGAATAATAATCATGGGCGTCCACAGAAATGTTGCCAGGGTGGCAAAAGTAAATACAGAGAACATACAAATTATAATATTTTTTGATTTGGTGAAATGTTTGTGCATTGGACGCACATCACATACACAGATGACATATGTCTTTATTTGATTAATAGGGCAGACAATCCTTCTTAGAATATAAAAAGGCACAGTCAGCACAATCGCAGAAATGTGATCATAGAGTTATGAGGAAGCTCTGTTAATTCTTCTTCTTCTCAATTGATGTCCTAACATTTACAATTAGATATATTTGGCCAGGTTCACACTAGATGGATGTTGTCATCGCCTATTATTTATTTTTTCATAGTATTTTTTAATTAATCTAGTTTTTTAAAAACTACAAAAAATCATCTGTTGTGGATAATTTATTGTTGATAACAATGTACATGGATTTAGGAAAAATGTATATGTTTGAAATCAATTTCGTTTTTATCGTCTGCCACATTAATCCTCAAGTCAGACAGAAATGCAATTATTGGTTTCTGTTTCTAATTAATACAGCTGTCCTATGTTCAAAACTTACATTAGTATTACATTAAAAATAAGATAATACTGTGTACTATCTATGGAAAAGTTTTGTTTCACAATTTCTAAATTTTTGTCTCAGTTATGGGTAAAAAAAACCCGCACCGTCCATCTTCGCCATATAAACCTATGTTAAAATGAACAACTTTCAACATCTCAAAATATAGATTCAAAAAAAATTCAAAAAAATATTACGCACAGAGGGAGCACTGATGGGTAATACGCTATATAAATTTCAAGTACCTACATCTCTGCATTTGAGTAAACCCGATATACCTCCTTAATATAAATATCTATTCTAAAAATTAACTACAGTAAAATTGCATTTTATTTTTGTTCTATTTTGGCAGTGATAACTGATAAATGTGTTTTTAATGTCTAAAAATAGTCAGTTGATCCTTTTGGCGTAAGGTAGCATAGGTACATTAAATATTTTCTTTATATTGTGATCATATAAATTTAATGATGATGAAGAAGAGGAAAAGAATGATGAAGAGCGGGTGGATAGTGGAGAGGGTAAGAAGAAGGTGGAGGAGATACATTAAATATTTTCTTTATATTGTGACCATATAAATTTAATGATGATGATGAAGAAGAGGAAAAGAATGATGAAGAGCGAGTGGATATAATGGAGAGGGTAAGAAGAAGGTGGAGGAGATGGGGGATAATGATGAGGTGGATGATGGGGAGGTGGCGATGAGGAGGAGCAGGATGAGCAGGGCGATCAGGAGAATGTGAAAGAGGCAGAGAATGAGGAAAGCGGAGGATGATGAGGAGAGGAAAAAATGAGGAAAATGATATGATGATGATGAGAATAAAGAGGATAATAATAAAAGAGAAGGATGAGGAGGACAAAAAGGATAATGATGGGAGAATGAGACAATGGAGCAGGATGATGAGGTGGACGATGAGGAGGAGGATAAAGAAGGAACGGCGGTAAAAAGGAGGATGACTGATGAGTGAGGAGGGTGATGAGAAAGATCATGTTGAATGATGAAGAGGATGATGAAAAGGATTTCCGCCTAAAGCTACGATTGGCAGGAATAAAATATCTCATCAATTATTTGCTACTTTATTAGAGAAATATAGATATTTCCCTAGATAAAAGATTAATTTAGCTTGCTCGATAAAAATTCGGGGCTATTTTACAGTTGGTCTTTGACAAACGCAATATTAGATGACATTAGAACAATATAAGAATACAATAAGGCATTTATTTGAAAGATTACATTATTTAATAATTTCAATATGTCAGATACATATTTTGCATTAGCAATTTTTATTTTAGATAATCAATTATACTAGCTGTTTATTATTAGATCCCTACTGCTGGTATTCATGCAGTGCTGTTTGGGGAATGTAGTATGTAGAGTAGTTTGTTTTTCGCAATGTTGTCAGTTAAGATATTAAGAATCTTACTTAGATGTTTGGTACTGAAGAACATTATACTTTATTTGATAGTATTTTTAGAAAAATTTTGAATTTATTTGAATTAATACCCTTAAAGTAAAGTAAAAATTCCTTTTTCTCTATTTGGTATAATGTTCTATTTTTAATTTTATTGCAAATAACAACAAATACTGAAAATATACGCGTATTCGCACATAATCTACGCACGTAATCTAACATTTTTTATTGTTGCCATTTGCCAATAATATATGTTCCTGCAGCAGTTGAGGATTGATTTGAAATTATCAGAGATATTTGACTATTCGATTCGTTAACTTATTATTCTCGTCGAAAAGTACGTGACAATTTAAGTGGCCGAGTAAATCTGATAGTTTGAGACTGCTACAATCTCAAACAAAAACACCAACAAAAATATGTACAAACCTAATAAAAAATAGAGAAATATGTACAAAGAACTGTAAAAATATGTTGGACACATATGCAACATATGTACTCTTAACAAGTGCAAAGATATGAAGAATGTGTAGCGCTTCTTTTATCAATATTAATAAAATCCAACAAATTAGGAAAAAATGATAAACTAAAAACATATCTAGAACTATTAAATTTAGTATTATAAACATTCTTATTTTTCAATAAAAAAGTTAATTTTTTATAATTTAAAATAGAAAAAAACAAGTCCTTATTTAAAAATTCTATTACCTGGCCTCCTTGAAATACTCTGCATATGTGAAAATGTTTTAAATCACTCATTATTAGACCTCAGATTAATGTTTGAATTAATCTGGTCTGTTTGTATCCTTTTCGTCTTCATCATTCAGTTTCATTTTACTTCACTGTTAGACTTATCATCTTTTTCTCTTGATTCATAAATTTGACATCTTCGTAACACAGGATTGACTGGTTCTACGTTTATCATTTTTTTCCCCTTTTTTTGATGGTTTCATTAAGACTTCTCACGTTTTTTAGATAAATTAGAAGTGTGCATGTCATTAATTTGGGTGACAGTGCATAATCTGGATTTGGTAAGCATTTAGCAACCTCATCATTAATGATCGAAGGGGTATATACTAGCTTTGAAACCACTTTTAATATCTTTAGATGTATTTATTTTAATATAATTTAATAAGCGTTTTAGTAACGTTGGACATGTCGCTTTGTTGACTACATTATCTCTGGGATTCCTCATCTTATAATCGGTCATTAATTTTCTCCATGAATTTTTCAAAGATTTGAAGAAGGTAATATCCAACGGCTGAGTCAAATGTGTGGAATTGGTCGGAAGAAATGTGTAACATATTATGTTGTACTTTTGACATTTCTTGTAAAACATTTAAATTCAAATGATAACATAAATTGCCTCTTAATATTATTTTTGGACCATCTTAGTTATTTGGCCCAGGGGGCATTAATTTTTTTGAACCAATCTTCAAAACAGTATGAATCGAACCATCCACTTGTTCTGTTATTGTAGGTATCTTACATTAGGTGGACCACCAATACGCCATCAGGCATCATAAAGTCGCTCTGCTTTATAAACAACATCTGCCCAGCTGCTGTCACAGCAAACATTATGGAAATAGAGCTTTTTGTACTGTTCATTGCTCTTTCTGCGTATCTGCATCCTCTACGAAAAATACATTTTTTCAATCCACATTCGTTCCACTCAAATTTGTTTCATCATAACTGAGAATTCTTTCTGGAGGATTTCCTAAAATGGTTCGTTCTAGTTTTGCAAAATATTAAGTCATTTCAACTTCCGATTTTTCTGCACGATTTTTATATTTCTACAATGCCTATTTGTGAGCATATGTTTGTGTCTATTTATAAAACCCAAGCATCGATCTTGGCCAGGTATATATTATTGGTAAAGCTGTGGACAGTTTTTCCAGAGACTTGTAAATAGTCTGTAGCTTCCGGTGATGCAGTAGATCAGCAGAAGATCCCACCTTTCCTGTAAATTTCTTTTTAATTTTGTTACAGAGACAATTTGATAAGTAGCTATAATCTGCAGCATAGCTAATAAGTTAGTATTGTTTTATTTACCTGAGATCTCGCCTAATCTCAATTATTTTGAATTCTGCTTCAATTACTATAGGTGAGATTGAGACCTCAGGTAAATAAAACAGAACTATTTATTACCATCATTGGTTTTATTTACGATATCTTGTTTTGTATACAGTACAGTAGTAACATAAGTACATTAAAATATTTAAGTGGGGTACACCTGAGTGAATTCTAAGAGAAATAGTTTATGTACACCTTTGTCCGGAAAAGCTTCGTTTCTGAAATACAGGGTATTGAAATTAAGAGTGGCTAAACTGACATTAATTCTGCCCTCCTCACCAAAGAATCCCCGTTGGAAAATACCAGGAATATTTCTTATTGCTTCGCAGGTATCTATTATGCAAATTGCATCTTTGCAGAAATTTGCAAATTTCTCAAAAACGGTGGCTTCTAGTGTTAAGGAAGTGTACCTGTTTTGCTTAAAAAAGGTGTAGGAATATGGTTAATTCATAAAAAATCGCAGAAGTCTTCTGTCAAAAAAGTTATGGCAAATTAAAATTAATGATAGCATACGTATCCTCTAAGTGCTGTACAAAAATTAATACCAAATTATGATTTCTCACCTCAAAAAACCCCGGTTACCAAATTTTGTGCGAAAAATTTGTCTTGCATAAAAGTTATTTAAGAAAATCGAAAATAAAATTTTAATTTTAACACGCTGTATCTCAGAAGCGAAGCATTTTCGGACAAAAGTTTATACAGGGTCTGCCAGAATAACGTGTACAACGGAAGACCACAGATTCGTGGACTCAAAATAGACAGATTTAGTCTAATTCACCTATATCCGAAATCGCTACGTTTGACCGCTAGATGGCCTCAAAGTTGGTAAAAATTTTTTTAATTTTATAAATAACTCGAATTAATTGATTATTATCTAATTAATTAATCGATTTTGATTATGTTTGGGGTGTGAACTTTTGCTTTCGATCTACACGTTTTGATGTTATACAGAGTGTTTTTTAAAACTTACAACACCTACAAAATTGATGTGTGGCGATAATATCCGTTCATAACTTTTTCCTCTTTCAGGCAATAATGTCAACTATTTTTTATCTGATAGGTGATACCATTTGGGAGTTTTTTGGACTCTTGTAGAATTTTGATTAAATGAGCGGTTTAGGTACTAAAAAATATTTTTTAAATGTCTACATTATCTTGCCACCCATATTACAATACAAAGTACTCTAGTAGGCACTGATTTGGTAGGTTGACTGTAATTTCAGTTTGATCTTTAAATCATTGCACCTGCCAATTCTCAATGAGTATTTACTACGATAAGATATATTACCATGTTACTTCATTTTTCGATATGGATAGACACACATACGACGAATTAGAGTTATGTACAACATGCCTAATTTTATTGAGATCATTAGTAAAAACAATTAAATACAATAAAAAATGCTGGAGATAAAAATAACAAAGTTAGGACAATTAGGATATGCCTCCACTACTCTTTTTCAGTGTTAGATGTAGAAGCATACACTGCTTTTTTAAAGAGTGCTCAAAGATAATAGTCGCAAGGTGTTAAGGTCGATGAGGGAATCTTTGGTTCAGATACTGCTGGACATTTACAGTGAAATGTGGTGAAGCTCCATCAAGCATAAACCACGTCAGCTCTAAGTAATAACGGCACACCTTCCAATAACTCAGGTAGTGTTTTGCAAAAATTGTAAATAAAATTCCCCATTCAGTCTATTGGGTAGAATAACAGGGACAATAATAATGCTATCAATGTGTTGCATTTGACTGTTTTTTCTAATTATTTGAATACAATTAGGCACATTGTAAATAACTAATTCGTCGTATGTGTGTATCCATATTGAAAAATGAAGTAAAATGTGGTATATCTTATCGTCGTAAACACTCATTAAGAATAGTCAGGCACAATATCTTAAAAATCAGATTGAAATTAGAGTCAACCTACAAAATCAGTGCCTACTAGCACTTTGTTATGTATTGTAATATGGGTGGCACGATAATATAGACATTTCAAAAATATTTTTTTGTACCCAAACCGCTCATTTAATCAAAATTCTACAAGGGGTCCAAAAACTTCCACATGGTATCACCTATAAACTAAAAAATAGTTGTCATTATTGCCTGAAAGAAGAAAAAGTTATGAATGTATATTATCACCTTACATCAATCATATGAGTTGTAGGTTTAAAAAAACATTTTGTATAACACCAAAATGTGTAGATTGAAAGCAAAAGTCCACATCCCAAAAATAATCTAAATCGATTAATAGGTATTCGAGTTATTTACAAAATTAAAAAAATTTTCACCAACTTTGAGACCATCTAGCGGCCAAACTAAGAGATATCAGATATAGGTGAATTAGCCGAGATCTGCCTATTTTGAATCCACGAATCTGTGGCCTTCCGTTGTACACGTTATTCTGGGACACCCTGTATAAACGTTTTTCTTAGAATTAACTCGGGAATACCCCACTTAAATATTTTAACGTACTTAAGTTACACCCTGTGATTTGATATCACTATTACTTCCAGTATTACACACTGGAATATTAAACGTTTTTTTAAGTTAAACATAATGGTTGTTAACTTAATAATGAGGAAAATGAATAATTTACAAGAATTTCATATTTAATTTTTACATATTTCATATTCGTTATGGATTTTTCCATATGAATCTACGGATATGTATTCAAAAAGCTAATTACACTGAAAGTATTCACTTTTACATTTAGCAGAGGAAGTCTTAGATCACTGCAATTAGAGGTACAAAATTAGTGTCTTCAGTAGAGATCGACAGAATGATTTTTTTGGCCGAAGCCGAACTTTGGTTTATGGGTCACCTTCGGCCGAAGCTGAAGACATTTTTATTTTCAACTTGTAAATTTTAATTAATAACAAAAATATGATAACATAGAATGTCAAAAATAAATGCATAATGTTTTGGAAATATAATATATATAGGGTGTTAAAATTCAACAATTATTTGAGTGATTTTAACACAAAAAGTTCATATAAACATTGGTCCGCAGATGCTTCGTTTTCAAGATACAGGGTGTTAATCTTTTATAAAAAAATGCTATTTCCTAAATATTTTAAATACTCTTTATCCAATTTTGTTGTAATTTGGTAGTGTTATTTGTAGTGTTAAGGGGCTAATATAACCCTAATTTGATTAGTATTAAGTCCAGTGGCGTCCGGAATGGTACCTTCGGCTTCGGCGAAAAGTTCAGCTTAATTTCGGCCGAAGCCAATTCTTAGCCGAAGGTTTAAATAATGGTCAAATGTGGCCAAAGTCAATGCCGATTAATCAGTCTTCAGTTCATGCAATATATCTCAAAACTTCTCGTTTAAAAAGTCACTGTAATAGAAGAGTGGGGGACATGGACATTGTTGCTTCAGTCTCGCCAGATTTAATCCTCGATATTTATTTGCAATATTTCATTTTAAGGTCAAATTACTCCCCCCTGACAGAAAAATATCCCCACTTTACGGTAACTTTTTTGTATTTATTTGCGAGGTAAAATAAAAATTACAGTTTGGCCAAGCAGTTTAGTTAGTCTACAATTTGTGCACGATTTGATGCATTTTTAAACTTGGCAAAATTTATATAACCATGAGTTTACAATAAAAGTTACAAATAAAATCCATATCACAACTTATATGCGTTTATTCCATTTAATAAAATTCACATTTAACAGGATATAAATCATCATTTTTTTCCAAATTTAGAAAAATTATGTCAATAATGTTTTATTTTTAAGGCTTCTATTATAATATCTAGTTTAAATGTCTCAAAACTTACACAAACGAAAAGTAATCATAAAATTAAAATATTCACACAACTTAACCATCACACAAGTGTCTCTAAATAAACAAATTAATATTACACATTTTTCACTTCATTTCTTTTGTGTAGGCATCTAATTCTGCATCCAATTCCTCTGCTGTAGGCTGTTTGCGCTGATTCCTAGGGGTTCGTCCTCCACGACCTGTGAACACAAAAGTAAATTATGAATATATGAACTATATTTACAAGAATGACAAATATATGGGATGTACAATTATTGTTTCTTTTTCAGTAAGGTTAAAAAAAAATTATTTGTTTAACTCAAAAAAATAATTTTATTATACATACAGTGTTTCTACTCAATTGTAAAGGTTTAAGTTGATTCAAATTATTTTCTTTTTTAATTTACAACAACTTTTACAACAAAGTAAAAATACAAGAGCTAATAATAGAATAAGTGTGTTCCACTTGGAGTCGTACTATATTCGTGTATGTTGTTTACCTACTTTACTACACCTATTTTACATAAAACACCCATATTCCCCACGTATTATAATAACCATGAAATATTAAATTGAATAGCAAAAAAAGTCTATCTTCCCCTTTTCATTATCCAATTATTTCTATTAAAAAAAAAATATGTTTGCTTTTATAACTAAAAAATATCTGATTTGTAAGTTGAATTCGCCCTCAAAATATGCCATTAGAATTTTTCTATCTTCAACCAAAAAATCGACTGACATTGTTGGTGTTAATGACGGACTTAACAAAAGAAGTTGTTTTATTTTTATTACTATACTTTAATGTTGAAAGTTAATGTAATTTCCACGAGTAATAACATCAGTTCAGTGTTTCAGATTCAGTACGGAACTGGCAACATGGAACTGAGTATTCTAGATTTAAATCCAAATAGGTATATAAATAAATAACAGAACTTATAAACAGAAGGAATGTTTTATCTGAAAAAATAAGAAATATGCAATATACATGGGACTCATCCTTCAACAGAATACAGCCAACAAATATGACCAATTTTCGACATCTAACCGCATATGTGCTAGTCAGTACTTACATAAACACTAAGTATGTAAGACTATGTCGCCTTTATAGGTATTTCATATTTTTTCCCATTTTAGCCTATGGGTACTATTTGAACATGAAATTGACGCAAAATGTTAGACAAATATTAAAAAAAAAACTCTTAAAGATTCTTGTAATAAAATGAATTTGACAATATTAGTAGAACAAAGCATTGAAAGGAGATAATTGTATGAAGGTGGAATAAAAAATTTTGTAATAAAAGATCGACTACGGACAACACATGGAACTGATGTTTTAGCTTAACATAATTTATAAATCACTAAAGAAAATTAAAAACTGGTATCCGTCATCAATCCTTAAGAAAAGTTAATAACAAAGAATTCTAATTGTTACTTTTTCTGTACTCGTTTTCTAGTAGCTTTAACAACGGAGGACACTTCATTACTCATTTTTGAGGCATCCGCCCATATACTAATTCATACATTTAGAGTTTGTAATAGATGGCCTATATACAGAGCAATAACAAAATTTAATCAGTCAATAATAATTAGTGCTATTTTTTGCAAATAAAGAAATATTGAAAATAGAAATCTTAAGACTGATTTCAAGAAAAAAGTAAAAGTAAAAAAAAATAACATCAGATAACTTAAAACAATGAACTACAATATTTTTGAGAGAATTGTACATATTTTCAACATTTCTTTATTTGTAAATAAATTTATCATTGTAGTGTATACAAATTAATGTAGTTCTAATGACTATATATCGACGCTTTAGTATGAAAACATGCTATCAGATTTCGGTTGGAAAACATGCTATCTCAAATTAAGCTTGGAAAGCATGCTAGCTCAGATCTTTAAGTAAAAACATGCTATCTCAGTTTGACTAGAAATTTAAATTGGCATGAAATTGGAATGACTGAAACCGTGGATTTACAATAAACTTATATATTTTTCAAAAAGTAAGGAATATTTAAGATCTGCTAGCATGTTTTCCAAGCTTAATTTGAGATAGCATGTTTTCCAACCGAAATTTTGAGATAGCATGTTTTCCAACCGAAATCTGAGATAGCATATTTTCGTAATAAAGCGTCGATGTCAATTCAATTTGCAATATGTTTAACCATTAAACATTGGTAACTGCATAATTATTTTATCTCTCTGTACAAAGACCACCTATGTTACAAACTAAACCCAAAATGGCTCAACACAATGAATTATTGACTTTATAGATCCCAAATATACAATTTAAATTTTGCTTGAAAAAAAAAAATAATAAATATCACATAAATTACTGCTAAAATTAAATTTTGGCATTAGCACATCAAGATATGTATAATTCAATTAAAGTGTGTTCAGCGAATGGTCGGACCGGTCAGTCGTTCAGCAGACAAATATTTCATCGGTCACCTCAATCAGTTGAATGGGAATATTGGGCAGGATTTAATACAGTTACTAAAGGCCATTCAGCGAATTGTTTGACTAAAGAAGTTTGACGGAACTAGTCCGACCATTCGCTGAACACAGCCTAAATTATAACTACCAGGATGATACACTTGTCACACTTGATACACAAGTGGAACATATGTACATATATCACGAACATTAGTTTGTAATAATAGGTATTTTTAATTAATAACTAACCTCTAGTGGGTCTACTTTTGCCTCCCCTCGGACTTCTATTTTGAAATTTCTTATCTCCACCACCAATTCTTCGAACAGGACTGGGAATTTCCGATGTAGTAAGTTGAATATTCATAGCACGTCCATCTAACGGTACTCCATTATACTGCTTCATGGCTTTAATGGCGTCACTTCTTCTTTCAAAAATAACATCTGCTGTACCCAATGATCTGCCTGATCTGTCATAATGTACAGCGGCACTTTTAAGAGGCCCAAACTCAGCAAAAAGTTCTTGAATATCTGAATCAGAAACTCCAAAATCTAGATTTGAAACCATGAGTTTTGTGGGCCCCATGTTAGCCTGAATGGCTGCTCGAGCGGCTGCCACTTTACGTGGACCATAACCCTCGAACAGATCATGCTTCCATGCACTATTAACGTCTCCCTAAAGAAACAATTGGTTGTTGTCAAAACCCAGAGTTTCAGGGTATTTTTTTAGGCAGAACCCTTTACATTCCAGCCTGTTTCCTCATAAAAAAACAATTGTTTAAAAAAGTAGTAAATCTAATTACCCGGGTGTAATTTCGTGAAATTCCACCACGTCCACGACCTCTTTGGACACCACCACCAGGTCGTCCAGTGTTTCTAAAATTCCCTCGCCTTTGGCCANCTAAAAAATGATTTGTAAGTTGAATTCGTCCTCAAAATATGCCATTAGAATTTTTCTATCTTCAACCAAAAAATCGACTGACATTGTTGGTGTTAATGACGGACTTAACAAAAGAAGTTGTTTTATTTTTATTACTATACTTTAATGTTGAAAGTTAATGTAATTTCCACGAGTAATAACATCAGTTCAGTGTTTCAGATTCAGTACGGAACTGGCAACATGGAACTGAGTATTCTAGATTTAAATCCAAATAGGTATATAAATAAATAACAGAACTTATAAACAGAAGGAATGTTTTATCTGAAAAAATAAGAAATATGCAATATACATGGGACTCATCCTTCAACAGAATACAGCCAACAAATATGACCAATTTTCGACATCTAACCGCATATGTGCTAGTCAGTACTTACATAAACACTAAGTATGTAAGACTATGTCGCCTTTATAGGTATTTCATATTTTTTCCCATTTTAGCCTATGGGTACTATTTGAACATGAAATTGACGCAAAATGTTAGACAAATATTAAAAAAAAAACTCTTAAAGATTCTTGTAATAAAATGAATTTGACAATATTAGTAGAACAAAGCATTGAAAGGAGATAATTGTATGAAGGTGGAATAAAAAATTTTGTAATAAAAGATCGACTACGGACAACACATGGAACTGATGTTTTAGCTTAACATAATTTATAAATCACTAAAGAAAATTAAAAACTGGTATCCGTCATCAATCCTTAAGAAAAGTTAATAACAAAGAATTCTAATTGTTACTTTTTCTGTACTCGTTTTCTAGTAGCTTTAACAACGGAGGACACTTCATTACTCATTTTTGAGGCATCCGCCCATATACTAATTCATACATTTAGAGTTTGTAATAGATGGCCTATATACAGAGCAATAACAAAATTTAATCAGTCAATAATAATTAGTGCTATTTTTTGCAAATAAAGAAATATTGAAAATAGAAATCTTAAGACTGATTTCAAGAAAAAAGTAAAAGTAAAAAAAAATAACATCAGATAACTTAAAACAATGAACTACAATATTTTTGAGAGAATTGTACATATTTTCAACATTTCTTTATTTGTAAATAAATTTATCATTGTAGTGTATACAAATTAATGTAGTTCTAATGACTATATATCGACGCTTTAGTATGAAAACATGCTATCAGATTTCGGTTGGAAAACATGCTATCTCAAATTAAGCTTGGAAAGCATGCTAGCTCAGATCTTTAAGTAAAAACATGCTATCTCAGTTTGACTAGAAATTTAAATTGGCATGAAATTGGAATGACTGAAACCGTGGATTTACAATAAACTTATATATTTTTCAAAAAGTAAGGAATATTTAAGATCTGCTAGCATGTTTTCCAAGCTTAATTTGAGATAGCATGTTTTCCAACCGAAATTTTGAGATAGCATGTTTTCCAACCGAAATCTGAGATAGCATATTTTCGTAATAAAGCGTCGATGTCAATTCAATTTGCAATATGTTTAACCATTAAACATTGGTAACTGCATAATTATTTTATCTCTCTGTACAAAGACCACCTATGTTACAAACTAAACCCAAAATGGCTCAACACAATGAATTATTGACTTTATAGATCCCAAATATACAATTTAAATTTTGCTTGAAAAAAAAAAATAATAAATATCACATAAATTACTGCTAAAATTAAATTTTGGCATTAGCACATCAAGATATGTATAATTCAATTAAAGTGTGTTCAGCGAATGGTCGGACCGGTCAGTCGTTCAGCAGACAAATATTTCATCGGTCACCTCAATCAGTTGAATGGGAATATTGGGCAGGATTTAATACAGTTACTAAAGGCCATTCAGCGAATTGTTTGACTAAAGAAGTTTGACGGAACTAGTCCGACCATTCGCTGAACACAGCCTAAATTATAACTACCAGGATGATACACTTGTCACACTTGATACACAAGTGGAACATATGTACATATATCACGAACATTAGTTTGTAATAATAGGTATTTTTAATTAATAACTAACCTCTAGTGGGTCTACTTTTGCCTCCCCTCGGACTTCTATTTTGAAATTTCTTATCTCCACCACCAATTCTTCGAACAGGACTGGGAATTTCCGATGTAGTAAGTTGAATATTCATAGCGCGTCCATCTAACGGTACTCCATTATACTGCTTCATGGCTTTAATGGCGTCACTTCTTCTTTCAAAAATAACATCTGCTGTACCCAATGATCTGCCTGATCTGTCATAATGTACAGCGGCACTTTTAAGAGGCCCAAACTCAGCAAAAAGTTCTTGAATATCTGAATCAGAAACTCCAAAATCTAGATTTGAAACCATGAGTTTTGTGGGCCCCATGTTAGCCTGAATGGCTGCTCGAGCGGCTGCCACTTTACGTGGACCATAACCCTCGAACAGATCATGCTTCCATGCACTATTAACGTCTCCCTAAAGAAACAATTGGTTGTTGTCAAAACCCAGAGTTTCAGGGTATTTTTTTAGGCAGAACCCTTTACATTCCAGCCTGTTTCCTCATAAAAAAACAATTGTTTAAAAAAGTAGTAAATCTAATTACCCGGGTGTAATTTCGTGAAATTCCACCACGTCCACGACCTCTTTGGACACCACCACCAGGTCGTCCAGTGTTTCTAAAATTCCCTCGCCTTTGGCCACCTCCTCCACGACTTCTGCCACCACGTCGACCTCCACCACGACCTCGTTGTGGTTTATTTGATTTTATAATTTCGTCTAAACTCATTTCTATTTTATCGACCATTCTGATATCTCAAATATTCTAAATTTACTAATTTAAACAACGGCGTCTGCAACACAACAGTACAAGAAAATGGCGCTTTAAAAAGAAGCCAAACGAAACGAAACGCCAATGCATTTACACCTGATGATCAGTGTTGCCAACAGTTGACAATTCTAATTCCTAATACACTAGATTCTATATTGTCTTCTCTCAGGACCTTAGAGCATATACTACTGGAGGCAGTGTCTCAGTGGCCGAGAGTGTAGCGGAGATTTAGAGATAGAAAGGTTTAGAAGGGTATTTGCTATCACTCTCTAGCAGCACGCGATTGCATGTTCCTAGAGAGAGATAGCTTATACCCTCATGTCTCTCTCTCTGTCTAAACCTCCACTGCACTCTCGACCACAGAGCATTGCCTCCAGTAGTATATGCTCTAAGGTCAGGACCACCAGAAACCACCTTACCCAATTTGGTAAATATCGAGATTCAAATATGGCGCTAAATTTAAAAGTAAAATATAAATTTAAATAAAGATGTCTCCGTATAAATACAATTTTTGTACAATATATATATATACGTATATTTTACAATTAATATAAGAATACTTTATATGTAAATACCACACTGATGTAAATACAATATTTACATTCAATTTCGAATAATTAGACATCTAATATCCTCCAGAAAAATATATTTCAAATGTGAATTCTCTGTACAGGATGTTTTTTTTTCACAATAAATGGTGTAAATATAAATATTTACATAAAATAAACAATATAACGTAATTACAAAAAAGTTTTAATATGTAGGTATGTTAACTCGCGCGCCATTATTCTATGGCTAGAAATTGGCCTCAATGATTTGGGATCGAGGGGGATTATCCCTCTTTATCCTGCCTCATCTCGTGTAGGCCCGGACA